TCCTAAGCCCCATCTCCACGATTGATTTGTCATCAGCCACTATATATAAACTGGATTTAAAATTCCAACAAACAATAGCAAGAGAAAATCCTAATTGAGACCCTGAATAAAAAAAGACTGAATGAACTCGGAATACGTCCAACAAGGTAACACCCATATATAAAGGGGGAAGTATGACTATCCAAACTCTTGACACTATTGAATACTTACAAGATATATTATTACTTGTCATCATCTTCCTCAGCTCACTGACTTGATCGTTGGTCTCCACGCCGGGACACCTCCCAGCTCTGTTTTGCGAACCAATCGAGTGAGGATATAAGGTCGCAAGAGCCGATCAAGGTTGTTTTACACACCAAACGCTGTTTTGCAGGTCATTTCACCGGTTCAAGGATGAATTGAAGGACGTTGGACGTCATTTACGCTACCAAATATAGTGTGGCTTTTTATAAACAAATTATTATTATTGGTATTTATGGATACTCTAGATTCAAAACATGTGAACCTTCTACTTGGACTCAACACACACTAGTTATGTAAAGAATAAGTTGTCTTTCATATTTGGTCAAGAAATGAACAAATGAATCAATGAACCAAGAAAACTACACTGTAAACAGTATATAGACACTCTGCCCTATATATTAAATGTAGAAGAAAATACAATTAGACGAGTGTGGAACATTTGGAAGTGGTGGGATCGTATATGGCAGGGAGCAAGTACTTGCGGCCGTTGGCGCCATGGGCATTGTAGCTGGCCCCTGTGGCTGGGTCCACCAATAGGTCCCCGGCGTAGCCCGGGTAGGCCCCTTTCCCGTAAACTCCAGGGCAGGCCGTTGCGGCTTCCAGTGGGGCCTCGGCCGAGCCCTGATAGTACCCATTCCCGAAGGGATTGGTGGCGGTGCCCGCCAGAAGCCCACTCAAGGTCATGACTATACCGTCGAGGCCAACATCGTTGTTGGGCGCAACCAATGGCGGGCTCTGTGGGCCGTAAGTGGGCTGGTGGAAAGGCCAGGCGCAGTACCCGGGGCACTGGGTCTCAGAGTTGCCAACCCATATGTAGGCGAACTTGGAATAACTCTTGGGGGCAATGCTGGAGCCATGGGTCCCGCAGCGGTTGAGGCAGAAGCCGTTGACGGTGACATCGCTCGCCGTTAGAACGACATTGACGGCGTTGGAGTGGTCGCCCCTGGATGCCAGCTGGACGATGTGTTTGTCGGAGAGGGACTTACCGAGGGAGTAGTCTTCGTCAAGGATCTGCCGGCCGAGGCGGATGGAGAGG